TGTTTTTCGACGTCGAATTTAGCATATTGAAAGGAAAGTTAGTGATTACTCGAATCCTTCGGAAAATTCAGTTTCCCAGTCACCTGTTTCTGATTTTCATTTCGTTAAACTTGGTTGACTTAACATGTTTTGCAAGTATGAATGGGTTGTGAGTCACAATCTATTTTTCTTACTTATTCTCGGTTGAGAGAGAAGGGAGGGAGGGGGGGGTGTGTTTCGAAACCAGCTAATTGAAGAGAATACGAAATTATAAATCCAACACAATTCAGATATATCTTCGACGCGCGCTTGGAATAGTGCGCGCTAACGCTTACGATCTTCTTACGCTCTGTGTTTGATTTGAAACCAGGGGAATTTTTTTCATGTCAAGAAGAGGCTACTTGGAAAATATCTCCTCGGCCACTCCCTTTCAAGACGAAAATCGTTAATAAAGTAACAAAGTTTAACTCACCGTTCAACATTGTTTACAGGTTTTTCGACGGTGAAGGAAAAAAATATTGATGAAATGAAGTTACTTACGGAAAAATTCGTTCAACATATGGTAAAAACTCTAACTGAGATGAAAGCAAGACACATGAGAGAGTTACTGACCTTTGCAAAACTTACGCCACAGAGGAAGACCACTAAGTTGAATCGTAAAATGACAGGTTCTGCTACGCTGAATACCAAAGACGTCGATGATATCTCGACGCTTTAAAGCACATGATGGCTAATATCTCAAGATGTTACCATGCAAATATTGATCTAGAATGGAGAAAAGATAAAATAAAGTGTATTACTTGGTAGACGAAAATTTGCTAAGAATAGTTGTAAGCTGCTTAGAAATGAGAGTCGAAATTTTTTTCTGCTTCCCTTCCATTCGAACTTCTGCAATGTCCATTTTCACCATCTTCATTTACATCATCGTTGGGCATAAGCATTACATATTCACATTCCTATCTTCGCAGTATACAGGAAGTTTGTCACCACAGACCTAGATAAACGGCCTAACCTGTCACTAGTCTGTTATAGCTCAGTGGCAGAGCATCTGAATACTAATCGGAAGGTCGAAGGTTCGAATTCGATTCCTATTAATCCTCTGGGACCCAGGAGATGTGAGTAGATTTTAATTCAGGGCGGGAGAGTCCCTGGGGAAGTTTTCTTACTGGGGCTCTTTTTCCCTGACTTAAATCGACTTACAACCTTTGAGTCTCGAGGATGACTCGTACAGAGAGTATTCGGAGTTCTTTTTCTCCGAGTATTCCTTTCTCATTAACTAAATAACACCTTCCTTTAGCTTTCATAAAATCAAATTCATTAGCTCTAACAGTAGCTTTGAACGTGATATTCAGTACAACGCAAAGGGGCAAACAACAAAACCTAGTTTGAAAACTGATGTTTCAGCATACATCGAAGATGCTCTTGGAAGAATGTATCGTTACATTGAATTTAGTTATGACGTATTTAGTAATCGATATTTCAGGAAAATCGTTCTCCTCATTCCTGTTTCTTAGGTATCCACATGTACGGATGTAATTTCTATATATCTTTCGCTTAGAACATTAAAAATAATATCGTTTTCAATAAAGCAGAACAGTTGCTAACATAAACGGATTTTGTCCCTCTATTGAAGTAATCCTTTTAAGGTTTTCTGTAGATCATTCCAGTGTGAGGAAAGGTGTTATTGTTCTGCATTGTATGTTAAAAGCAGACAGTGGCGAGAACGATAGATTACCTCTGAGGCTGAAGCTTAATTCAAGAGTAGACTGAGGCTCAACAGAAATCTTTCCCTGTCCTTCTTTTATTGACCCACTGTCGAAATAAGGAATCGACGGTGAATTTTTTTTAAACAAGCTCCAACCCCTCGAGTCACACTTACTGGCTAACCCCCGGTTCAAACCATTTACTGTTTTAGCACTTCCGGTTTCGACGGCCCGTCACGAACTTCAAGCTTGCGCAGAATCATGGTCTAGGGGACTCCCCCTTTTATTGCAAACAGAACCCAAACTTAAACAATAGCAGAGTCGGCACGTTTGCTGCTTCTAATTGCAATTTTTCGTGCCATAACATACCTGTCGAGTCTTATTTGGTACATAATCAGTTATAGTGACTTTTATTAAGACATCTGTCTGGCAGATTGAGGAAGTAAGGTCTTAACACAGTCAAACGTCGCGTCCTTTTCGAATTCCCCTACAAATCTACAGGTATAAAGATCTACAGGTATAAAGAACGTTTCCGTGGTGTGACAGATTTTGAGTATGAGGTAAATATTCGAGCTTCTCCGTCAGTATTTTCTTCTATTAATGTTGTTAATTTGTCCTAAGTTTCTTTGATTCCCGACACAAAAGACGTTCCTGCATTTAACTGCTTAGGAATCGAATAGCTTTTACTTGAATCTTGCTTGCAGTTTATTGCCGCTTCGCTGTACTAGTAGGCTAAGCTAAGCTTACATGTTACAGCTGTCGAATTCACAAAAAGTCGAAAAATATCATTTGTATTAACCTCGAAAGGGTTGAAAGGATTATTCAAAGTGTCGATTTAATGTGATGATCGCGCTGATGATCGAAACATCATCGGTAGCGTTTGCAATCCAATTAAGATAAAGCATGATCGTGTTAGGAACTAACTTTCGTATAAGGCTTAGTTTAAATTGTTTTTGTATTGTCGTTCACGATAAAACTGTTGAAATTCCTCACGACGTGGGCATGGCCGACAGTCAAATGCCCGTCGGTTGCTCGGGGGAAGCGGTGAGGGATACTGCTGAAGCTTCGAATTGATCGGTGCATTGGTCGCCAGGGAGTTAAATGAAATAATAATTCCTCAAGCATGCGTTAGATATGAGATGATAGATAGCCCACGAGGGGCTAATTGGCTTTAATCGTCTCATATCCAACAAGCGCGATTGGAATAATTATTTTATTAAAGTCACTCTTAAATATAAATGAATCTTCCCAACTTTAGTATGTAAACTTTATTTTTTTTAAGCCTACACTTGACTGCCAGTTGATTTTATTGTTCGAAGCAAGCAATTTAATATGATAATTTCCAAAAACTTAATTACTGGTATTTCATAGTTGATTGAAATAAATTCATTAATTGCTTGAATTAATTCTTCCAAAGATGAGTTGAGATAGGAAAAATTTCAAGAATTTATCAGCCAATGACTACAGAGGTATATCTTACAATCACTCATTGTCTTGGATTTTTGTGTTCAACTTGGCTAACTGTACTGTTTTTAATAAATGAAGTTTTAAGGTTTTGATTTCTTTCTGCTATTATTATTGTTTTATTTATTTTTTGTTGTTGTTGGAAAAGTATCCTTTCATTTTTTTTTCTCTGCTAATGAATTGTAGGACATTGAAGTCATTAATCCCCATTCGAAAATCAACAATTGTTTTGTATAATAATGTGTCTCTAAGTGTATAAACCACAAAGCAAAAATCTAAACAATGTTTGGGACAAACACAGCCTTTATTATTGCAAGATTACTAATTAACTTACATTTTCATAAATACACACTTCCTATGTGATATACAATATTATGTGCAAATAAGAAAATAATACTCAAACATAATATTAAACTTAAAAACAAAAGGCTGTCTAGAAGAAAACCTGTGAAGATATTATAACAAGCAATAAAGGTAATAGAGAGTTTGGAAAAATTGCTTCTAAGAATATAAATGTTGTTTATGTGTATGTGCTAACAAACTGGGCCATTGATCTAGGTTGTTGGTTCAAATCCCATTGAGGCCTGATTTTTTTTTTTTTTTTGGCCTTATTTTCACCACTGCTTAAGTGGTGTTCATGACTGTGAAGTTTGCTGTCATATTAATGTCCATGATCAAACTTACTATTTAGTAATAACTGAATGCATGTAACTCCCAGCAGTTTTGGGGTCAGATTTACTGACCATTTGCTCAACCAGTAGTAATTGAGATTTACTGACCATTCAGTGATCAATCATGTAGTATTGAGATGCTCAATTAAACCTTTCATGTTGTGCAATCTTGCCTATTTTGTTCCTCAATATTAGTTCAATAACTTAAGTACCTAACATGACATCATTGTACCTTTACTTGCAATATGGAACTTAACTAGCAGGGTAGGTCTGTTGATGTTAAATTGCTTGTACTTAATAAGCAAGCTTGACCACAATAGGCCATTTTACAGTTGTGTTCTTTGATTTGATATGGAGTGAGGCTAAAGGTAACCTTTTAGTGATAGAAACCAGTATCTAATTAGCATAATAACATGGCAATTTGCATTTGAAAAGCAGCAAGATTTGTATCATAACAAGATCCCCCTAAGCCTCACTCCTGTTAAAAGGTTCAGCAACCAAGCCCACAGCTGTCAAATGGACTATTAAAATTACTATTTTCATAATTTAAAAGAACATCACCCAGTAATGGGTGACATTTCACATAAATTTAAGCTTGCAACATGAGATCTCCCCTCAGCCTCATAGTATAGATTATTTAAATTTTTGCTGTAAACTATGAACTTGCTCCACACCGTTGTTGAACTTTTGCCTATATCAGTCAAGAATGTATTTCATAAATCTTAAAATTTAATTGAATTTTGTTTGATAAATTATCTATCCTTAATTCTAGTGAATTGATCTTTTTTAAAATAATTGTTTTGCTCCTTTTTCAGTCCATCAGATTGTTGTTATGGGTAAAATTGAATGTATCTTTTCCAATCTTAGAGGAAATTAGAGATACTAATAATAAGGTACTTAAATTAACTAATAGTATGGTACTTAAGTTATTGAAATAATATTGAGGCACAAAATAGGCAAGATTGCACAACACAAAGGTTTAATTGAGCATCTCAATTACTACATGATTGATCACTGAATGGTCAGTAAATCTCAATTGCTACTGGTTGAGCCAATTAGAGCTAATAGTAATTAACTATAATTGAGCAAATTTTTGCCACCTTTCTCTTTCTTCAGGCCAGAATAATGTAAAACAGAAACTTAAATGAACAGTAAGAAGCATCCTCTCAGGTTTGCAATGGCTATGGAAAGAAATCTAATCACAGTTCCATGTGAAAATGAGGACAGACCTGAAAAGGAAGATGCCCTGGACTTTGACGAGGACACCCTGCAAGGTACTCAGTCCTTGTCACAGTTAACCTTTAGATATCAATTCCATCTGGGAATTACTTCGAGACACAGAAAGGATTTAAGACCATGCAAGCACTCAAAAGAATATTTGGGACAGTTCTTCACCCTTTGTACCCTAACATTGATGTGCAAGTTCCCTATACTGTTCTAAATGGTCCTTTCCTATGGTAATTAAAAGCAGAATTTGTTGAACAATCAAGAGCTTCTTGAGTTCACATTCATTCCTGTAATTCTCATGACTTATTTAACGTTTGATAGAGGTTAAAGGGTCAATGCTCACTTTAATTAGTTGGCTAAATAAGTATAATTAAGGCCTTGAGTTGTCACCTGGATATCTGTTTTAAGAACTGTCTGCCTCCCCTTTTTGCATTAACTGGTCTATTCTTTTCCCCCAAACTCAGAAGACTCAAATTAAAGTCTCTTGTCAAGGTTTTGTTTGAGTAATTTAGTTTCTGATCTTTGTTCTTTACCCAATTTGTGAGAAGGTGAAAACTTTTACATGAATAAACTACCCACAGAACAAACCAGATGTCAAGACATTGACATAAGTCTTTGCTTATTTTTTATTTATTTTTTGCAGCCATCGCTGATGTTCATAGGAACCAGGGTAACGAGGCCTTCAAGAAAGGAGATTTCCTCAATGCTATCCACTTCTACACGGAAGGAATCAAAGTTGAATGCAATGACAAAGAACTACAAGCCAAGCTGTATAACAACAGGGCAATTTCACATTTCAAACTAGGTAAGAAGCTTAAATACACAGTTTTTTAGGGATTTGGTGGTTTCTATAATCAGGAATTAGTTCAAAAATAAGGTTTTTCAAAACAAATTACACTAGGATTGAGCCCTCAAATATGCATAGCAGTATGGTTACTTAATTCTTATCATGGCACAAATCAATGAGTGCAGATGCACCACATTAGTACATTTTTAACAATTACCTTACATTTTTTGGGTTTACTTAACCTAAATAGCAATATTTATTTAAAAACAGGAAATTATCAGGATTCACTGAGTGACGCAGAAGCTGCCACTAAGTTACAGCCAACATTCCTCAAGGCAATTGTTAGAGGTGAGTAAATTTGTTGCTTCAAGTTTTAAAAGACTGTTTTCACTCAACATGTATGTATTCAAAGGATGTTTGTAGCTAACCAATATCAATTTTGGTCTCTGTTTCTCTTCTTGGGCACTAATGAAAACATCATGTTGCCTACAGGAGCCACTGTCTGTGTTGAACTGAAGAAATTTGAAGAGGCCATCACTTGGTGTGATAAGGGATTAGCTGTATCCTTTGAAAAATCTTCAGTTCAATTTCTTGAGTAAACAAAGAGTCTTAATTTTCGACCTGACTTCTTATGGCAGAAAATACGAAATAGGGAATTACCGTAGTCTCTCAGTTATAAGGCGCACGGTTTTTACATGTGTCTTTTGGTGGCAAGTTAACGCTAAAATTGGGGTGCGTCTCATAGCGGAGTATCTTCGCGCAACAAAATATGTGAAGATAACAATTTTAGCAGAACTTACAGCTAAACAAGACAGGAAAAGGATGTTAATCATTGACTTTTCTTAGATTTGGTGGTTCTGAAAAGAATCGGGTGGCTGGAACCGTTTTTCCTGTTCGCTGTCTGTGTCGAACTCGTTCTCGTGTTCGTCGTCTTCCTCTCCTAAAGCTACAGCAGTGGTTTTAACAATATGTGTAAGATATAAATCTATTTTGTTCCTAAAAATTCGAACCAAAGAGAGGTTTATATACCCAATTAAGAAGCCCAACAAGTCACCGCGCTGACCTCTCGTCTCTAATGTGACCGTTGATTTTAAAAGGTGATATTGATTAAGTATACAGTAAGTACGAAAAGAAGATATTCTTAGATAAATTAGATTTTAGGATTATGTTTTCTAACTATTTATGTTAAGAGAGGGTAATTTTCATGCTTATAGTTCCTATTCAGCTTTTCATTTTATTTTTTTCTGTTTTGCGTATTTCAATGAAATATTTTTGTTTGAAATAGTTGTTTACCTCATGTCTGTTAAATGTTTCTTATACACCTTAACGTAAAGAAGATCGACTACAATAACAAGATCCTGTTGACGTTAAAAACCCAGTCTGTCAAAGAACTAGCGGGAGAGTTCGTGGACGAAAAAGATCACGGTGGCCCTGATATTGCCTTCAACAGTTCAGGTGATATCGAGAAAGTCTTAAACAATTATCATGTAAATCTTAAAATTGCAAAAGAACGAGAAGACAAGGCTGGGGAAGGATACGCCTATGGGAGCCTCGGAAATGCTTTCGAACAAGTGGGAGATTTAAAAAAAGCTCTCTACTACTACAATATGTGTCTTCATATTGCAAAAGAAGTTGGAGACACGCCTTTGAAGGGTAAAGCTTGTGGCGGTCTCGGCAATACTTATCAAAAGCTGGGTGATTTCAAAAAAGCCGTAGAGTACCACAATTTGTGTCTTAAATTGTTTAAGGAAATGGGAGATAAGCGTAACGAGGGTGGTGCTTACAGCAATCTTGGAATTGCTTATAGATGTCTTGGTGATTTAAGAAAAGCCATAGACTACCACACTCTTCATCTTGAAATTGCCAAAAAAGTAGGAGACAGGCATAGTGAGGGTAGAGCTTACGGCAACCTTGGCAATGCTTATCACAATCTAGGTGATGTCAAAAACGCAGTAGAATACCATAACCTCCATCTTGAAATATGTAAAGAAGTAGGCGATAAGCATGGGGAAGGTTGTGCTTATGGTAGCCTTGGTATTGCCTACGACAGTGTGGGAGATTTCAAAAAGGCTTTGAATTACCACAACCTTCATCTTGAAATTACCAAAGAAATAGGAGACAAACATGGGGAAGGAAATGCTTATGGCAATCTCGGCATTTCTTATTACAGTCTGAGCGATATCAATAAAGCTATACACTGCCTCGAACTATGTATTGAAATTAGTAAAGAAGTAGGAGACAAGCATACGGAGGGCGCTGCTTATGGCAATCTCGGCAATGCTTATAAACGACTGGGAAATTTCAAAAAAGCCATACAGTATCACAACCTACATCTTGAAATTGCTAAAGATGTAGGAGATAAGCATCAGGAGGGTAGTGCTTATGGCAATCTTGGCAATGCGTATGAATGTCTAGGGGATATGAAAAAGGCCATACAGTACCATAACCTAGATCTTAATGTTATGAAGGAAGTAGGAAACAAGCTTGGGGAGGCTAGTGCTTATGGAAATCTAAGCACTTCCTATAAGGGTCTGGGAGATTTCAGAAAAGCCATAGAGTACCAAAACCTACATCTCGATATTTGTAAGGAAGTAGGAGATAAGCATGGGGAAGGTGGCGCTTATGGCAATCTTGGCTCTGCTTATGAGAGTCTGGGAGATTTTAAAAAAGCCATAGAGTACCACGACTTACATCTTAAAATAACCGAAGAAATAGGAGACAAGCATGGTGAGGGTATAGCTTATGGCAATCTTGGTAGTGCTTATCAAAGTCTGGGGGATTCCAAAAAAGCTGTTGTGTACCACAAGTTACATCTTGATATTACTAAAGAGATAGGAAACAAGGATGGCGAGGGGGGTGCCTATGGTAGTCTTGGCATTGCTTATTTTAGTATGGGCGATCTCCAAAACGCTATAGAGTTCCATAAACTACATCTTGAAATTACCACTGAGCTTGGAGACAAACGTGGAGAGGGTGAAGCTTATTGCAATCTTGGCAATGTGTATCTCAGTTTGGGAGATTTCACAAAGGCTATAGAGTACCACAACCTTTTTCTTGAAATAACTAAAGAAATAGGGGACAGGCATGGGGAGGGTGAATCTTACGGCAGCCTTGCAAATGATTATCTAGCTTTGGGCGATCTGATGAAGGCCATAGACTTTTGCAGTCGACAGCTCAACATTGCCAAAGAAGTCGGGGACAAATCATTAGAGGCAGCAGCCTACTGTTTATTAGCTTCCATTTTCGAATCTCAGGGCCGACTGCCAAAAGCCGTTGAAAATTACAAAGCCAGTATAGCGCTCTACGATGCTATGAGAAGCCTTCTCAAATCGAAGGATGAGTGGAAAGTTAATTTTAGAAATAAAGCTCAGATAGCTTATACGGGCTTTTGGAGAGCACTCGTGAAACAAGGTAATATAAACGAGTCCTTGTTTGCTGCGGAGAAAGGAAGAGCACAAGCTCTGATTGACCTCATGGAATACAGTTTTTATGATGGGGTAGGCCCGTCCGAAGAAGGTAATAACGATTTAGCAGTTTTAAAGAACCCTGCCGAAGAAGAAGATGAACTTTTGGAACTTTTAAGTTACCTTCCATTAAACACTGTTTTTCAGGCAGTAGACTATCCTGACGTTAGTCTCTGGGTAATCCTTCAAGGAAAAGAAATTCACTTCAAACAAAGCAACGTAGAACGCACGGTTTCAGAGAATGGTGGTCCTTCCCAGTCCTTTAAGGCTGTCATCCTAAATGCTTATGCAGCAATTGGTGTTAATGTAGATATAGCATGCGAGGATCGATCTTTGAATGCTGTGAGAGAAAGCCACTCAAAAGAGAACGAGAGGACTGAGGAGGAAAGCCCTCAACCTTCTGCCCAACAAGAAGATTGTTTGAGCACTTTGTATAACCTCATTATTCAACCAATCACCGATCTGGTTCAAGGCGATGAGCTAGTCATTGTTCCCGATGGACCCTTTTGGCTTGCTCCTTACGCTGCATTCAAGGATGCTGATTCCAAATACTTGTGTGAATCGTTCAGAATCCGACTTGCTCCATCTCTGACAAGTCTCAGACTCATTGCCAAGTGTCCAGATGATTACCACAGTAGAACTGGTGCGCTGCTTGTTGGAGATCCGTGGGTAACAGACATTCCATGGACTTACCCCAATGGAGAAAAAATCTTCAAGCAGCTCCCGTTTGCTGAAAAGGAAGTAGAAATGATCGGGGAGATTCTGAATGTCACACCAATCACTAGGAGACAGGCAACGAAGCGTGAGGTGTTGAAAAGACTCAGTTCTGTTGCTTTAGTTCACTTTGCAGCCCATGGGAGCATGGATACTGGCGAAATTGCTCTAACACCTGACCCAGAGAGATCATCCTCGCAAATCACCAAGGAAGATTTCGTTTTGACAATTGCAGAGGTGATGAACGCTCAACTTCGCGCCAAACTTGTTGTACTCAGTTGCTGTCACAGTGGTCGGGGCGAAATCAAGGCTGAAGGTGTAGTCGGCATAGCGCGCGCCTTTATGGGTGCTGGAGCTCGTTCTGTTCTGGTGTCCCTGTGGGCGATTGATGACAAGGCTACTTTTGAGTTCATGAAATGCTTCTATCATCACCTTACGCAAGGAAAACGTTCAAGCGAATCTCTACACCTGGCCACGAAGAGTCTGAGGGAATCCGAGAATTTCAATAAAATCAAATTCTGGGCTCCGTTTTTGCTGATCGGCGATGACGTCACTTTCGAGTTCAGTGCATTGGAATGAGGAAATTTTGAATTGAAATCGCTGGTCGTTGAAACTGGAGACCTTTCAAATCGGCGGACTCAAAGGCGTGTAATATATAGTTTTTTTTCCTGTATTCACATTTTGTTTATTGTACTCACTACTTGTCAAAGCTTTACTGTTTAACTTATAGTAATTTGATCGTGTCAATAAGACATTTATCCTTAATGTTGTGAAGAAATAAAGAAAGACCACTCTGTGGACCAGTGGAAATGTAACTATTTTTTGTTTGCTTTTTTACTTGCTTGCCAAGATTGCAAAATGTACCATGGCTCCTCTACCATGTCACTGACGATGTCTGTCACCAAAGAGACAGTCCACTCCTTTCCTCATTTTCTTCTTTTATAATTATGCATTACTAGGAATTTGGTCACCTTGCTTTTATTATTACTTTAGGGCCTCAGACTTTTCCCAAGCGAAGGAAAGATCCGCCATTTTTAAGAAAAGGGGCCGTGCACTAAACCTTGATGATTTCTCTCTATAGCACGTATGAATGACGTTTTCATATAAAGTGGTATTATCATGTCAAATGGTGGGTTGTTGCTTTTTTTTTAGTAGAATCTAGTCCTTGTAAATTGATTCTTATTCTGTCATTGTCAAGATTGCCATTCTAAGATTTATTTGAGGAACTAACTACCACTGTTAATGTGACCGCATCTCAGACTTGTTAGATTCACTTAAATGAAAAGTATTGAAAATACTGAGAGTACAATCTTAGAAACGAACACAATGACTATTAATTGCGTAGTGAGAAGACGAGAGAATTATTTCTCAAGCGTATTTACATTGTATTAAGGCTTGCCTAAGAGTTCATTTATATTCGATTTACTGGGCTATATTTTTTCCGATCCGATAAAGTATTGTGAGTAGTGATACCGTAGAAAAAAAAATTGTTACAGTTCCGAGGGATATTAGCTGTTTCGTTCAACCAAAAGGGGTTTGAAAATTTTAAATGTTTAATCAAAAACTCACTCATTCACAGTGAAGGTTTGAGAAAAAACTAAAGCAAAAGGATATAGGGCTTCTATCTATCTTTCAAGATACATAGATCCTGTTAAAAAAAAAATTGTGCTTAAAGCCTGCCCTAGTATAATTTTAGAAATTCTGAATGTATCTTATTCAGATTTTAGGTTTTATATTACACTAAGATGCAGAGGCCACGATGTGCAGGTAGGCCTGTTGTGTGGTCTAAAGTTTCAGATTTGCTGTATCCCAGCTGTTTGAGGGGAAATAATCTTAATATCAATCTCAACTTTGCATATTTTAGTAACTAGCATTTGTGTTTCTCTTGTAGTTAGTTTACCTTGTGTAAGTTTGACTATTATGTGACGTAGGATTTGGCAAATAAGCCTGGAGAGTTTAAACTAATTAAGCTTGTTTAACGTCACTGTATTAACGTGTAAAGTTGGATTTTCTTGGAATAATACTTAGTACAACTGCACACTATATCAGTCATAGCTTTCGATTAACCCTTTTACTCCCGCGATCTCAATAGAAACTCTCTTCTCGTTTGATTACAAATCATTTGTGTTGCTATATTTATCAAACTAATATGCCCTAGTTTACATACATAAATACATTCATATAACATATATATATATGATCGCGTAAACGTGAAACTCAGAGTCAGAAAAGTTGTCTCATTGATTTCTCCAACTTTCAGATATATAAATATATATATATATATATATATATGTATGTATGTATGCATGTATGCGTGTATGCATGTATGCGTGTATGCGTGTATGGGTGTATGGGTGTATGCATGTATGTATGTATGCATGCATGTATGTAGGTATGCATGCATGTATGTATGTATGCATGCATGTATGTGTGTATGCATGTATGTATGTATGTATGTAGATATTGTGCTTATTTCCCTTTGTTTACAAACTCCAGGGAGTGAAAGGGTTCATCTTAGTTTCTTTATTAAGGGATTAGTCTTCTTGCGAGTGATTGCAGTTTCATGTTTTACTTAATTCTTTAGTTTAGTTACATTATTCAACTTTCCTGATTATAACAGTTGTCTGATAATTTTGGTGTCTTAAAAAATATATTGTCCTTGTATTATTCTAAAGATGCACAATAAATGGATTTAGAGAGAACAGATCTTGACGACTCCTACTGAGGAGGTGATAAAGTCCAGAGGCCTTAAAGCGCTTAGAGCTGCCACGAACTTCTTAGCCATGTTACGAATGCTCTACACCTGTTACCGCAATATTTTTTCGGTGGAGTGAGATGTGTGACGGAGGGGATTTGACAGAAACTTTCCTGAAAACTGCAACCTTATCTGTTTTAGTTTGGGCCTATCCCCGCGAAATGAAAACAAACAACGGAAATTTTAAAAAATACCGTAATTTTGCCTCTCTAGTGTTAATATAGAGGCAAAATATTGTCGTTCCTTCTCCTTTGTGCTTGTAAAATTTCTCGTTTGTTAGAAACATGCGCATTCATTTTGCCTCCGTGTCGACATCCGTCTTTCGAGCTTGCGCTGTAACACACAGCATCATGGCCACTCACACGAGCAAATCGTTATGGAACTCGTATTTTTCCTTAAGTTTCAAGCTGATGGCTTCTTAAGAAATAGTTACACCGAGACCTTCGTTGATTCTGGTCAATTGTTCAACTTTGAATTGATTTAAAGTTTTTCAGCCAACACTTCACGATTAACTGCTGTTAACTTCCGCAAAATACCTGGGGCCTATGTATAAGTATTTTAAAGGTTGAACTACGATCAAAAAGATCGAAAGATAACACAGCCTTCCCGTTCGCCATTCCTGTTCTCCATAAAACCGGAAGTTTTCCTTATAACTGAATTGTTTCCGGTTTCGTGACGCCCTGTTCGAATGTTCTTATCTTACCCTATTAAAATTTGAGAATTTTTCAAAAGTCTTTCCTAGCCATCTTTCGGTAATCAAGCACTGGCTAGTTTCTTTAAGTGCCTGTCGTCTATCTGCCTCGTATTTCTGTCGTTTCATTTCCCATTCGCGATAATGAAGCCATCGAAAAGAGGTCGTCCTGCAGGGATGGAAGGCTGCCAAATTATATGGCTTACTAAATAAATTTTTAGAAGCATGGAATGAGCGAAAGACAGCTTTAGAATTTGGCAAATAAACGAACAGCAAGTTCGCTGAGGCCCTGCTACACAGTATTTCGGATAAAATTAAAAAAGATAGCTCCTCTCTGCACTTATGTGGCCGTCAGACGGGGAAACGTTTACAATTAAACACACGCCTAATCCCATATAATTTTTGAGTGACCTTTCTCTCCCGGTGAAATAAAATTCAGAGATACTTTTCTACAAAATTTAATCTCGGCAATGACACGAATAAAAACTCAAGCATTCGAACATCTCCGTCTCTCTGCGATGCGTTTGGACGTCCAGGGTCGATTCCATGTTAAACCTTTCGCTTTCGTATACTTTTGTGTCTGAGTAAGATATTTCAACCGTGAATGGCGATATATTGTATCATGTTACAATAAACAGTTGCTGTTGTCCTGTCTTACAAATTCTTCTATTTTGTCTTCAGTTCTGCTCCACAGACAGGAAACGTCGTCAATATACCTTTTCCAAACTAGCGGTTAAGTTCTACTCTAGGTAATAATACCTTTTTTTTTTGTTTTTCCATGAAAATGGTGGCAAAGGTAACTGCCGTTGTGGTATTCTTTGCCGCTTCGTGGGTTTGTGAGAGAAGGTTTTGAGCTCCCCGAAAATAACACTAACAACGGCGCGCAAAGCACACTGACTGAGGGTGGCCCTTAAATCGTTTGTGTCAATTCTGATTGGCTAAAGAGAACTTTTGGGAAATAACTAATTAGCCGGCGTGAAAGTCTTTTTCTTAGCCGAGCAAGAGAGCTTAACCTCTCTGAGTAAGAACGGAAAAGGATGCTACACATGAGGAAATAGAAAGGGGACGATTCAGTATAAAAATTGTCTCAAGGGGAGGCCATCGATTTCAAATTCTTTTATGATTAGACGGACCCATCCAAAGTAGGAGGCTAACAAAAAAAATGGGTTCAGGATCAAACAAGGATAGAGAATTGGGCTGAAGACCTCGAATTATAATCTTGAAAAATTTTTAACTGAAATTTTCAGATGGAAAACCTTGAGCGTCACACGTCATAACATGACAAGTTTGAGAGTACAAAAGAAGGCTTGGAGTAATTACAACGGGCGGCATCTCATTATCATTGAAAACATAGCAATACTTCATGAGCGAACTGGAGCAGTTCAAAGGACGTGCTGTTCATCTAACGATATGCAAGAAATTTAAACTAACCAAGACTTCAAAGGGTTGGTAAGGCGAGAAGAGACAAAAATGGGTGAATTTGATGAAGTGAATGTCATCGTGCTGTCGTTCCGCTACCATTACGTCAAGAGCTTTTAAAGTCAAAACATGGTAATTTATCCTGTGTAGGGAGATAATTATCTTAAGCTAGGAAATCGACGCCTCATTAGTCTTTTTATTGTATTGTTTGCAGCACCCGAGGGCAAAATGAAGCGAATCCTGTGCTCTGTTTGGATGGGCCGCTCTTTGCATTTGTGATGCCTGCTTTGATCCCGCGCAAGAAAAAAGAAATAATTCTTTCGTGAAAGCACCGTTCGGGAGTTTGTGCGGCTTCCTATCAATTTCAACTGAGATTTGGGAAGTTGAATCATCGTTTATTGTAAACCAATCAAATCAACTTATTTTTCAAGTTTTCGAATGAAGAACGAGCAAGCGCCATTATAGTTACATCTCTTTCCCAACGCTAGGAAGGAAAAGAGGCATGGCTCATTCTTGATTCTTATTGGAGCGAAATATTTTTGCTCTACATTAAGTACGTTATTGGCTACGCTTGTTCAGTAAAGATGGCTTGATATTGCCTCGTTTTATTGTGTGTCTTTGATAACCGATAATTTGTCTCGGTCCATGAAGACACAAAAAAGATTGAACTCGGCCATATCAAGCCACTTAATTGACTTCACGTTTGGTCAATAGCGCATATGCCTTGTTACTTGCTTCGTTTCGTGCCAAGCAGCACGATTGGTACAAGTACGTTGTAAAATAAAAAAATAAATAAATAAAAAAAAAGGTGTGCTTATTTCCTTTAAATTCTTTTATTTATTCGGCGGAGAGTAAGATGCGATGTTACGAATGCACTACAAAAAAAAAAAGTTTATGAACTGTTATGAGAAATCGAGACTCACACCTTTGGGCTCCTCGCCGCGATGTTTAGAATTCGAAAGGAGGCGAATGTTAACCTCGATTAAGAATTAAAGAAAGGCTGGCAAGATTTCTTCGGAGCCCAATGCTTC